AACCCCTCCTTCCCAACCTACCCCGCAGCCTGCGGAAGGCGTGACTGTCCTGTCCCCCAGAGCACACACCTGCCACAGCATTGTTTGGCTTCCACAGCCTCCCGGTCACACCCGGCTCATGGAAAAGGAATGCTACACGGCTACACAAGCCCTGCCCAATCGCTACACACAACACATTTAGCAGCATCTACTTGTGAAACCCTCCCTGTTACTCCCACTTTCTTCATAGGTTTTGTCTTCAGTAGTACTATGTCGTTCTTTATGGTTAATATTTAACCCTATTCTGGATGGTTTATCTTAACTTTATTATTTTTATTATTTTTTTTTATGTTTTTAGGATCTGTGAAGGACATCAGGCTGAAACAACACACATTCATGTGTATGTTATTTTCACAATTACAGGCATGCTCCAGAAAACACACTTCCTTTTAAACAAAGTTTTCAAATATTCAGTATCACTTCCTGTTCTTTAAATTTTCTTCTATGTCCTTTAAAATAATGGATAAGAAAAGCCAATGTATACATGGAGTCAGCAGCTATGCATTGGCTGAAACTGAGAAACCCCCAAAAAAAGCAGAGCAAGAGATTTTAGAAGAGTTTGTTCCTGGAATAGAGACACATTAGAATTCAGTGCTAACTGTGAAAAAAATATTGCTTCTCATGACATAACCTCTTCAGGAAGAATTTCAGCATACAAAAAACCCTGAAGTGGTCTAGCTACAATCAGATATTAATGGGGAGTGCTGGAAATACAGCACATCAAAAGTATAGCTAATTTCAGATTAGGTATAGGAACTGCAGAGATACTTCATAAAGGAAAAGCCAGGAGTATTTCAGTGATGTTTCACATCTATGGCATAGCTAATGCATTACAGTTTTTAAATCAAGTTAAGCCTACTGATGTCACATGAAACCCATTCAAGAGTCATATGAAGTCATGAGAAATTGCTGGTGCTTGAATCTGCTCTCTCTTGTGTTGGTGCAACTGACTCAGACTCATGCACCTAAAAATCAAGTGAGATCACGCTAATTTGCTAATTTTCTATCCCTAGATACATCTTGCTCCAGTTGCAGGCAGCTCCATTTTAGTTTCCCTAGGCTTCTACACAGATGCAATGAAGAAAAAAAAGCTACATTAAATTACCAGTGATGTCCCTCAAAAACACTCACTTCAACAAGGCAATGTAGATTAAAACATTTATTTTCTCATTTGTATGTATGTTTACATAATGTTACAAGAGGTGGTGGTTAGCATAGATTTTCTCTGACTATACAGTACTACAGACTAGCTAATATAATGTCAATGTAAATCAACAGTAATTAAACTGTAAAGCAATTGGCATATCAGATGAAGATATATTATTGGGGATTTAAGTTCACTGACTATCCTGCTAAATTTAAGCACTTTGGCACAGCAAGGTTATATTTTAAACAATATATGGTTCATATTGTTTCTCCTCTGACTGAACTTAGGTCATCCCATTTTGGTTTTAGAACCATTTTTGGCATGAATAAAAACTGCCCCACTGCCCTTTCAGCCCTACTCTTGCCTCTTTACTGTTCTTAACTGTAGGTCCCCGATCAAATGACAAAATCAAAGGCAGTTATTTCTAACCACAATCAGCTCAACACTACAGTTTGTAATACAACTCCATGAACAATTTAATAGATAAAAAACTAGGGCAATGGCATATTGAAACAACAATCTTCAGATATCAAATGCTGCATGCCTGAAGCAAAAGGCCAACACACACCTGAAAGCACCATCAACCAGCTGAGTTCAAGATGAAGCAGATCCACCTTTTCCCAACAAATTCTGATTCCTGTCTGTGCCCCACTCTCTCCTTCCTAGGTGCACAAGCACTCATGTAGCTACCAGGTCAGCTGGATAAGTGGAACTTAAACCATCCTGGGTAAAAAGCATAACCCAGACAAAGAAAACCACAATATTTTACAATATCCAGCTTTCTGAAACACACCTTCAGGGAGCTCTGCTACGGGAAAGGAAGGGAGCAGGACAAGGACAGGAGCGAAGCAGGAAATGCTGCTTCTTTCTGCAAATGCGCCAGGTTATATTTCAGGTTTGGGATGAAATTCCAGAGCAGAGTGTCTGGATTTAACCAGGAATTGCTACAGTCATAGGAACCAACCTGTTTGCTTGTACCAGCCCTGCAGCTCAGGCTTTTGCACAATGAATTCAGCCCCAGGAGCCACCTGGTCACTTTGTCCCATAGCAAATAAGCTTCCAGCTGGATCACCTTCCTGAACTAGCTCATTGTGACAGTACAGAGGTGCCAGTACCTGGACAAAGGACCAAGAGACACTCCAGCTGAAGCCAGGGGAGTAGAAAGTGACAATTGGGACAATTGTAACAGCTCCCATCCTCTTGAGCAGCTCAGTCAAGCTCTCAACTGACTTTACTCCCTCGCCTGTGCCTTCAAATCTGTCCCATCTCGACCCGCAATTTTAAATCCATTTTAACTAAAAGTTAGTTTCGTTAGACTGCCTTTTGCTAATAATTATTAAATGCTAAAGTATTACAAATACATTAGAGGGCTAACCAGGACACCTCTAACACACAGCTCCACACAAGTTCAAAGCTACAGGGCATTATTTTATGAATTACTGAGTAACAGAACAAGCAGGCAAAAGACCTACTTTCTTGTTACATCACAAATCTTTAATTCAAAATATTCTTCTTCTGTTATTAAGTATTTAAATTAAAATACAGCTCAGGCAAACAGGCCTCCATTCAACTTCAGGAAGTAATTAACTTGTTTCTCTGAGGCCTGTATATCCCCAAGACACTGACTACCATCATGTGCTTCCCAGGGGTGACAACATCAGTATACATAGGAGCCAGGCTTTCTGACCCCTTAGCATCCTCTCCTTTGTAGCTAATAGTGTCCCAGAGCAGTAGCCACTAAGCTATCATTCTTTTTTTTTGGTTGCCTATATACTTCTTACATTATTTGGACAAATCACTTTGTTGCTCAGTTGTCAGCAATGGGGATAATGTGCATTGATTCGTGAATGTACAGGAGATCCACACATCCTTCATCGCGTTCGTCACCTGCCCAGCCAATGCTGAGCCCCCAAACAGCGATTCCCTCCCCTGCTGAGCAGCAGTACTTTGCCCTCCGTGTATCCAGCCAATACCGTGCGGTACAAAGCACGAACAGGAGAATCGCACAGGAAACCACAGACAATAAATTTTTGAGGATTAACAAATCCCCATCCCGCTATATGAATCCACAGCTCATTAAACACGAATCGATGCCCAACCACCATCCCGCCTGGTGATACTTGCTCGGAGCCCAGGGCCGAAGCGCACCGCACACCTGCGGTGCCAGGTGACCCGGCCCAGCCGCAGCCCCGGCGAGAGCCGAGTGCCCCCGTAGCCAGGGCGCTCCAGCCCCGGGAGGGATTCAATCGCGCGGGGCCCGGCCCGCACTCACCTCGCTTGTTCTTGGTGCCGTGCTGCCGGGCTACCGCCAGCTCCCGCTCGATCCGCGTCTCCAGGTACTCCTGCTTCTTGCTGAGCATCTCCTCCGTCTCCCGCAGCCGGGCAAGCGCCTCCTGCGGCGAGGGACCCCCGCGGCCCTTGGAGCCGGCCGAGCCGCCCCCCTTGAAGAACTTGGAGATCTTGCTCATGGCGGCGATCCCAGCTCGGCACCCACCGACGGAAAGGTCTGGCCAGCCCGGTCCTCAGGAGCCTCCCTGCGCAGCACACGCCGTGACAGCACTTCCTCGGCCCACGGGCGGCGGCACCGCACCTGGCGGCGGGGCGGGCCCGGGGGCGGCTCCGCGGAGGCCGAGCTGCCGCTGCCCTCAGCCAGCGCCGGGCAGGGCGGCGGGAGGAGCCGGCGAGCTCCGCGGGACAGCCGCAGGGTCCCGGGCCGGGCCGGCGCTGCGGAGGCGGTTGCGAGTTTGTGCTTCCCCCCTACTTTTTTCCCGTGTCACAGAATGGCAGAATGCACAGTGGGTCATCTGGTCCAACCTCCCTGCTCACGCAGAGCACATGGCACAAGATTGCGGGCTCCAGGCGGCTCAGTATCTCCAGGGAGAGAGGCTGCACATCTCTGGGCAACCTGTTCGATTGCATGGTCATCCACACAATAAAAATGTTCTTCCTCGTATTCCGGTGGAAATTCCTGTGCATCGGTTTCTGCTTGTTGCCTCGTCGTATTGCTTGGCACCACGGAGAAGAACCTGCCCCAGCCTCTTGGCACTCTGCCATAAGAGGCCTATAGACATTGGTTATGTTCTCTCCCAGTCACTTCTTCTCAAGGCTGAAGAGCCTCAACTCCTTCAGTCTTTCCTTCGAAGGGAGATAATCAAGTCCCTTGAAAAATGCTGTCCCTCTCTGCTGGATCCTTTCCAGGAGCTCCGTGTCTCCTATTGAGGAGCCCAGAATTGGAGACATGCCGCAGGAAGGTGTTTCGGGAGAGCATCACCCTCGGGCACAGGTGTGCCAGCGGGTCAGGGCTGGGAACATAACACTGAAGTCTGAAGGAATGTGGTTTTGTACAAAAGTGGTGGATGCGCCGCTAAGGAAACCTCAGTAGCACCAACAGGTTGCAGAATGCACCACGTGCTTCGGGAAGTCGGGCTACCTCCGCTCTGCCTCCGGGAACAAGGCTCTGCCCCAAGGGACGTCCCAAATAGCGACACAATAAGACACAAATTACGCCTTTTTTCCCCCTGGAACAGCCCGAGGAGCACCAGCCGCGGCTCTGGGCTCACTGAAGGCTGAGGCTTGGGCCAACATGGGCTGCTCAGGTTGCCCTGAGCCCGGTGATGCAGCCGGTCCTGCCGGCATCCCCACAGCTCCCAGCTGCCGGGGCGCGCTCAGGCTCGGGATCAGGCTCAGCCCGGCGCGGGCGGGTCCTCACCGCCCCCGGCCCCGCCTCGGCCCGGCCCGGGGCGGGTCCCGCCGGCCCCTCCGCAGCGCGGCCCCGCCCTCCCCGCCGCTTCTCCGCCTCCTGCGTGCCGCCGCCATGGCGGAGCTGGAGGTGGGGCAGCACTGCGGGGTGCCCGAGTGCCGCCAGCTCGGTAAGGGACGGCGCGGCGGGTCCCGGCGGGGACGGGGACGGTGGGCTGGGGACGGTGCGGGGTTGTGAGGCGTGTCCCCCTGATCGGGGAATCCTCTGTGCTGCTGCAGCCCTGCGGTGCCAGCGCCTGTCACCTGGGTTGCCTCACTGGGTGTTTAACAGCCTGCTTGCCCCTTCCTCACACTTGGTGCCTTCAGTGATCTCGGAGAGTGTGACTGGAAATGAAACCTCTCAGAAAGAAGCAGCAAACTGCCCGTACCGAAAACTTTCTGAGGGACCACTCAGAGATGAAGGGATCGAGATGATTGTGACCTGAGCTGCGTGGTTCAGTTGTGGGGTGGTCTGTCAGCATAAAATCCTAAGGATGGAGAAGCAGAGTAGTGGGCTGGACCTGGCATTTGCTGCCATTAATGATGTGGTGGAGTTCAGCAGACAGTGATGTGATTTTATGTGTAAGAATTTATGTGGTAGGCAGAGGATGTGTACAGAGGCTTAGGAAGTCTGTGCAATTTTAATCACCCAAGGACAGAGTATGTATGACATGATGTGAAGAAGAGGCAGGATCATTATGACTGTCCAGTGGAGGAGATGCTTTCCCTTCCAAACAGCCAGCATCTCCTCCAGTTGGCAGCCCATAAAAAAAAATGTAAATAATCCACTCTCAGTAAATAGTGTTCTAAGTGGTCTCACTGTGATGTTGATGAACAAAAGTTAATAATGTGAAAATTAAGCTAGAAACTATTAACAAAACAACAACCATATTGTCTTAATTGAAAACAAATCTCTTCGTTTCAGATTTTCTTCCTTTTGTATGTGATGGCTGTTCAGGCATCTTTTGGTAAGTTCATAGAATCACAGAGCACCTCAAAATGAAAGGGTCCCACAAGAGTCAACAGGTCCATCTCCCTACTCCTTGCAGGACTAAGACTAAAGCATACAACTGTCATTCAGACAGTCCTTGAACTCCAGCAGGCTTGGTGCCATGACCACTTCCTTGGGGAGGCTGTTCAGTGCCCAGCCACCCTCTCTAAGAACCTTTTCCTAATGTTCAACCTGAACTTCCCATGACACAACTTCTTTCCATTTCCTCATGTTGTACACTTGGTCACCAGGATTTCCTCATCCCAGGTGAAGAATCCTGTACTTGCTCTCATTAAATTTCATACAGTTAGTGACTGCCCAGCTCTCTAGTCTATCAAGAATCTCTCTGTGTAACTGCTCCACCCTCAAGGGAGTTGACACCTTTTCCTGGTTTAGAATGGCTGGCAACCATAACATGTATCCAGATCATTTATAAAAATCCTAAAGAGCACTGGCACTAAAATTGAGCCCTGGCTAACTCCACTGTCCACCAGATTGAAGCAATTGCATTAACTGTGACTCTCTGAGCTCAAACCATAGTATTACAGACTTGTCTAGCTGTGTGCTGGACCTTTTTGTCCAGAAGAACATTCTGACAGTGTCAAAAGCTTTGCTAAAATGCAAAACACCCCATCTGCTGGCTTCCACAAGGATGTGGCTGATTATGTTTTCTTCTTGAAAAAAATTTTGAGGTTTCTTGCAAGGTTGAAATCAGGGTCTGCACTTTGATTTACACTTCAGATTAGCAGAGGGCAGCTGAGAGAAACTCGGAGATTGGGGGCAGATTTCACTTCTAACGTATCAGAAGCCTTTGAGGGATTTCTGCCATTATGGAAGAAATTTGAAAATCCATTAAAACAGACAAGCTCTGGTTGCTTTGAACTGAACTCTTAAGCATGCTAATGTCTTCATTCTCTTGAAATGGTTTGTTTATCTTGAAGCATCAGTTCCAAAAGCTAAATGTTTTACATTCTGAGAAAGAATATGATCTGTCCATTCAAGAAGTGAAATGCATAGGATAGAACAAACTTTGGAAAAGATTCATTATCTAATTGAAGTTTTTCCTTTATAAAATGTGTCAGATTACTCTTTAAACACTTAGATGTTTTCACATGCAAGTTTTTTTTTTCCTGGAACGTTGATAACAGTGATATTTTCTTCTTTTTCCACAAAGCCTTCAGCACAGGAGCCGGGATGCTCATGGGTGTTCTGAGGTAATCTAATAATATATGACAGCCTTAAATTAAAATTCCATGCAACTTAGCTGTGTGTTTTCAGACTAGATGAATGCACATGGTATATAAGTATGAATTATTTAACTCAGAATGTGAAGGACTTAAAAAAATGAATCTACTCTTTTTCTTCCTCTCAGAAGTAAATTGACTTTGAGTAGCATGACAGTTCTTTTTCAGCCTCTGAGCTAAACATAACCAGGGCAGAAGTAGGAGAGAGTAGCTGGACCAGGTTTGCCCATAGAATGGAGAGGTAGCACAGATCTTTGAGAAAGCTGGGTTGGTAACTTATATCTGTAGTATCTGTTTATTTACACAAAATATTTTGTACTTACTCCTAGGTGAATGTAAGAAACAGTTCTGTGAAACCTGATCAGCACAGATCTTACCCATGCTCATACAAGGACTGCAGTGGAAAGGAGCTTTTGCCAGTGTTATGTCCTTACTGTGAAAAACATTTTTGTCTCAGGTGAGTGGAACAGACTGTTTAAACATCAATATTCATTCAATAATGCATGGAAAATGCAACAGAAGTTTTACTTTGTTGCTTATAGACATCGTCATCAATCAGATCATGAATGTGAGAAGCTGGACACACCAAAACCTCGAATGGCTGCCACCCAGCAGCTTGTTCAGCATATTATAGGCAAGTACAGAGGCATATATATTCTTTTTCTTTTTTTTTTTTTCAGAATACTATTTGAGTTTCTGACCTCTTTTAAGGGGTCAGGTTTGACCAAATAAGATAGCCCTAAACTTACATGTCAACATTTAATACTGTTCATCTAAACTGAACAAGAACAACAGTACAAGAAGAATCTAAAGAATAAATAGAGCACAGGTTTCTTTTGGAATTATTGTCTTGTTGTCATTCTACAAGTACCATACTATAATGAATTGTACCTAGCCATTATTATTTACATATTAATCCATGTGCAAATAATGCACTTGTGTTGGATGTGTATGTCAGTCTACTGGGATTGACATACATCCACACAATCAAGATACCCAGAAAAGTCTGATACTACCATGTAATGTTTTGCAGGTTTTAAACAAGCTCTAGGATGGAAAGAGAATAAACAGTGCTGCCCAGCTGGACAGTGGTGTTATGTGTAGAAAGGAGGACCTGAAATGTTGCCATATGAATGCTGCGATAGCCACAGATGTAGAAGCTCCAGAATTTGTATCTATTTGGCTTTTGCAGCCTGTGTTTACATGGTGATAGTGTTCATCTACCTTTCAATGGAAAGTAATTCTGCTAGAACTAAAAATGCTGATACATGACTTTGGGAAATACAAAATATGAACAGACATAAAAAGAGATGGGATCCTTGGCAATACAATGAGACCCAACCAACTAAGGTCTATGTCATGTAAATGCTCAGGGAACAGTCAGAATGATGACACTAACAGGAATAATATTGTTCTCAGATTCTAAGAAGAGTGACGAAGTGAAAAGCAAAAAACGCAAAGGAGCAAAAAACAGTGAGACAGCAGCAAAAGTGGCATTAATGAAACTGAAAATGCACGCATGTGGGGACAAGTCCTTGCCTCAGGTCAGTGATGTTTGTTTTCAATAACTGAATTCTCAAAGGAACTGGAAAGATTGCTAAATTGTTTGATCTTCATCGAGTTTCCTCGGTTCCTTGGTTTTGGATTTAATTTTTCAAGACCACAACCCCTTAAATGTACATTTCAGCCTGGTACCCAAAAGCCATCTCACTAGTCTTAAGTCTGTTATAAGATGTCTTTGTGGAGTTTGGAGCAGTGGAATCAAATTTTATTACTTCATAGCAAAAATGTGTTTGCCTGCCACATGGCTGTCACATAGCACAGCAGGGACAAACGGGGTCTTATGGGGATTCTTGGCAGAAAGATGACAGCACTAAGTTTATTAAATCATGTTATTTTAGCAGAATTTGATGATCAGCAGAGCATAGAATTTCATTATTAGACTAGAACAGGACTTACAGAATCACTGTAGCACAATCTTGTAAGTAGTGCAGCGCAGAATTTTATAGCACATCTTAGCTTGTGGTTCCTTATCACCTGGGTCCTTTTTGTAGGTAGTGTCAAATCTTAATACTTGGCTAGCAATATCAAAATTTCAGATCATCTAGCCCTGAAACATGTAATTGCTTGGTTTCCCCACCAAGACTGAATTCATATGTTGGGGCATTGCAGTGGATAATGTCTTATCATAAGAATGTGCCTTAAACATTTGAGTTTGCTAATTTTGAGAGTGTAGAGGAATGAGTACGCCAACTTAGATTGGTACCAAGATGTTTCAGGTGCAGATTAGCTACTCACCCAGAATTAGCATCTGAAGATTGAGGGTGTTGTATACACAAAAACCATTTGTATGTGTAAAAATCCATGTGAGAAATGATTTTCATAAACTGCATAGCACGATTATCATCCCATTCATGAAAAAGGGAGGAAGGAGGTACAGATAACCTTCAGTACAATACAGTGGGTACTGTGATAATCTTTTTACAGCTGAGATTTCTACAAAGGTAAAGTGATTATTTCTTGGGCATACTCCAGGTTTGTTCAGGCCAAAAAGTCCCAAGTTTCACTCATTTCCTGAAATGATAAGAAATTGCCCATTCCTGGGAATTATCCAAACCTCTGTGAAGGTAAATGGAGTCCTCATCTAGAAACAGTTTATCATGTGCCCTTTGCTTTGGGAGTTAGTAAAGGGACAGACTGGTATTTTAAACTTCATAAAGTAGTTAATAAGAACATTGTCGCCCTGAAAAAAGAGAAGGTCTGACACTAGGGGGTTTATCAGACATTTTACTGTTGGAAAGCAGGAAAATGAGCTTCTTCTACTGGGCATCTGGTGGGTGTCTACTGGTTATTTTAAACATCAAACAGCTTTAAGTAGGGCTTTACCTCATTTTCCTAGAAGGAAACTTTGCCCTAGAGCTCATTTTAGTGGACCATCCCATTTCTTGACTGCACTATTACTTTGAGGACAGGTGGAACACCCAGGAAACTCCATGATTGTCCTAGGATTCCTGGATTTTTTCCTTCTGTTTAATGAATGTCATTGTAGAGAGCATGAGACTGCACAGTAGAGGGCATGAGAGTGTCAGCAATCTGTTGATGAAATCCTGCCAGAGTGGTAAGACCATCAGCTTTACCACAAACAAAAGTTTTCCCTAAGCCTTCCTTATTTTATCTCCATTAAGGATGTAACACCACCCCTCAGGTGTTCAAGGGAGAAGTCCAATATAATTAATTTGCCAAGTGAACCAGGGGGCTTATTTCCTGCCCACAATCAATTTGGTCCCCAGAAAAGGTGACCTCCTGCGTGAGGCCCTGGCTTTGTGTCTTTATCAATTGTTTTAATGTTTGTCTTATTTTTCATGTTTTTCTAGACAGAAAGAATTTACTTTCAAGTATTTTTACCAAAAGGGAACAAAGAGAAAAGCAAACCCATGTTCTTTTGCAGTAAGTGGAGTATTGGCAAAGTAGTAGATTTTGCAGCTTCCTTAGCAAGCCTTAAAAATGACAACAACAAATCAACATCCCAGGTAAGTCAGCAATAACAAACATTTTCCAGGTTGTTGCACTTTGGTTTTAGTTTTATTTTTAGCCTTTTGTGCCTCTCCCACCCCACTTCTTTCACCTTGGATAGGCAAATCTTGGTGTTAATTTCTGTCCTATTTGTCTTACAGAAACTGAGATTATGCCATACTGCCTCTGGAGAAGCCTTGCCATTTGAGCACACACTGGAAACATGGCTATCTGATAAAGACTGTCCACTGTACAATGGAGGAAATATAATTCTGGAGTATCTTGATAATGATGTTCTATTTATAGAAGATACAGAATCCTACTTTAGTTAGTCAATACATTTCCACAAACAAAAACAAAAAAAAAATCCAGTATTTTTTATAAGCATGGTATTAAAGCAAGTCCAGTTTTCTTTTTAAATCACTGGTATACCAGAATGTCTTCCATTGTAAAGACACAATTCCCATCAATTTCTCAGTTGCTTGACTGACAGAAGAACTGTGTCCTGAAAGGAAAATTATAATAACTAGTATTACCAATATTCACATTCTAGAATAAATTCTTGCTCTATTGAGCTGTATTATGTCAAGAATTTTTTCCTAAATTTGGTATTTATTTTTGTGTAAGTGGTGGGGACAGTATGTTTTAATAAATAAAGAAAATGTAAATTTGCAGTATGACAGTTTTCTGAATGAAAGAAACATTCTATGCTAATGCAGCATCTTTTCTACATCTACACAAACAGATTTGATTGCATTTGGAAACCAGCACTGTCCATACACTAGGTCCACATTTTCTTCTTGTAATAGTTTAATAACATTTAGGAGGAAAACTTTATGAAGCAAAAGTAAATTCACTCAGGTGTCTTCCTGAGTGAATCTTGTAAGATCACAAGATTGCAATCTTGTACAATTACAAGATTGTAAATCTTGTGTGATTAGGTGGGGGATAAAAGATCTCAGTAAGCCTGTCACTTATTTTGCATTAAGTATTCTTTACTGTAGTTTTGACATGACTAAGGTATGAATAAATTACTTTACTGGATGTGGTGGGGATGTCATGCAAAGGAAGATGTTTTTGGTTTCCATGAAGGAAAGGGTTTTCAGTGGCTGGATATTTTGGAAATCTTTGTCTCCTGTCAGTGGAAAGAACAGGAGCATTTTTCTGCTTTCCCCTGCCTGTCTCTCCAGCTGTTATCTTGCTTTCCAGTACAAGAGGAACAGTTCCCTTTTCCCTTGTTACTTGTTTTCGTCCCTTTAATCTGCAATTGTCTATTCATCTTTCTTTTTATCTTAGGCTGCTGTGGTACAGAATATGCAGTAAGAGCCCAAACAGCATTGTGGAACCAGTGAGCTGGGAAGAGCCCTAAGCAGAACATTTTTCCCCAGCCTGTTGCTACAAAAGCAAGTGAAAAATACTTTTGTGCAACAGGGTCATTTCCCCTTTTTTTAGCAGAAGATTTTTTGCTAAATCTTCAATAGTTTTCTACTTACACCCTTCCTCCTGCCCCTGATTTTTCTGCCTTAGCATTTTCAGGCAAAATAATTGAAATAACACTTTTTTGTGGATAAAGAGAAGATAGACTTGGGATACAGGAAGTAAATCTTTGGGGAGACCTCAAAGGTTTTACCAGGGTGGTTGCTTTCATCAATTGCCAGTAATGGCTAAGGTCTATCAGCCTGTAAATGACAGTACAAACATGGCAAGTCACAGTTGATAAGACTCCAAAAAGTTTTCACTATCATCTTATTCCAGGAATCTGTCTAGGATTGTACACAGAAGCTCATTCCAGGTAGTTTTCAGAAACTGAGAAGCAAAACCAAATTAGTCTGACAGATAAATAATGGAGAAGAGATGAAAACTCCACCCTAATCAATGGTCGTTGGAACAAAAGCAGAAACTTTTCCAGACCTCCAGGATCTTGCATAGGTTAGAACTGCTCTCATTTTACCTGTTTAGATTTCAACATATCTTTACTTAGCATTTTGTTTTGTTTCATTTTTTTAAACTCATTGTCTTAGCACATTTTCATACAGAAAGTTAAGCAACTACATTTGAAAAAAAAACCAAAATACTTTGGAGGAGTCAGTTCTCATTAGAAACCACTGATAATTTTACAGCCCTATGCTTAAAAGGTGATGAATTGTTTCACTTCTAAGTTAATAAACAAAACTTTAACTTCTAGTAGATGCAAAAAAAAGTATGTAAAGTTATGCAAGCAAGAAAAAAAATTATCAAAATAAATACTTCCTGATTTTACAACAAACAATACTTTCAGCCAAACTACACAAATAGGTGAATATCAAGCATTTTAGTGATTCTAGCTGTAATTTTAGAGAATGCACATGGTCAAGGATTTACAAATTTTTTGTGAGATGCTGTGGTAGCAGCTCCTGGCCTTGTTCCAGTTCAAACGTTGCTGCAAGGTTGCCTGGCATGGGTTTGTAATACATGCAACAGTTTGGAAAGAGTTGTATTAACATTAAGAGTTCAATTCTGCTTGGATACGTGACCTGTTAGATCAGCTGGGCAATGCTGTACTAAGCAAGAAATAATATATCACACTAAGAAAGCAGGCAGTAATCTCCCATACTTTTATTTTCACAATTTTCTGTTTCTGTGTTTGTTTTGGAAAAGTGTGCACCCTGGGGTGTGATCAGTCTGGTTTGCAGACTTTTTTTTATCAATATGTCACCTCTGTTCATCCAGTTTATCAGGTGACACATAAAAATACACCTTGCAGCTTAGTTTTCCTCCTAGTAGCCTCATATATTAAATACAAAATTTCAGCTGGAATAGAAATTGTGGTTTGGATTAGGAAAATTCTTATACTTGTTAGGAGAGAACTTCATGCGTTCCTGTTTTACTTCTGTTGATTTTAAGGTGAATGCAGAATTTGAAATCTCCTGTAAAACCCTTGCTGTAACGTTAAGTATACATTAATGATGTAAAAAAAGCCATTTTTCATAACACTCATGCAGTCCTACATAGATTGCACTGAGGCATGTTCAGCTGCTTGCCTCAACAAAAACCAAATCTGAACCAAAGAGCCTCTTTCAGTGGTCTGTGTGCTTTTGGTGTAACCTTGTAAAGTGTGATTTTCAAAATAATCAATAAAAACACAACTTATCATCTCTGTAGTTCTTTAATGACTGTGAATACTTTAAAAGCAGGCTTATTCTTGTTTATGAGATGGGAAGGAAGAAATGTGGAATTGTACAGTGACTTGCCCCACACAACAGATTCAGTGAGAGAGGAAACTCGTTCAGTGATGTGGAAAGCACAAAACTAACCCCCTTTGGCCTAGCCGTGCCTTGGGTTGGCACTGGGGCAATGGGGTAAGACTGCTTCTTTTGGTGTGGTAGACATTTTGTGATTATTTTAAGCGTAAAGCAAATTGCAACCCTTGCCCTGTTTAGCCAGATCACCATTTTACATAGGACAGTCAGTTACACCAGCTGCAATGCGTGAGAACAAAACAAGCCCTCAGTGTTTTGTCTTTACCTGATAACAGAAAATAGGCTCAAAAGACCACAAGAAAAAAAAAAAAAGAAACTGATATCAGTCAGGCTTGGAAAGTTTTTTCCTCTATATGATTTTAATTAATACTGAAGATGCATCAGTTGCACTGCAAATTGCTTTCAAAAACCTCTGAACTCTGTGGTTTTTCAAAACTTTCAAAAACTCTGTGAACTCGCCCTCCGTGAGGGTTCTGAGGCACTGACACAGGTTTCACAGAGATTATGTAGATGCCCCGCCCCGGGAAGGGAACACGGCCCGGTTGGATGGGGCTCTGAACAATCTGATTTAGTGCAAGGTATCCCTGGCCACGGCAGAGAGGCTGCTTATGATCTTTAAAGTCCTTTCCAACGCAAACTATCCTTTTAATTCTACGACAAACTTCAACCGCGTGCTCCATGGGAGAGCATTCACGGTATCTCCGCCCTGCCACGTCTAATCTTCTTCTCAACAAGAAGTCGACATCAAAGTCATAATTTCAACACTTCCCCTGTAAATTTTGACAGCGCCGGCGCCGAGGCGGCCTCGCCCAGCCCCGGGCTCCTTCACACGCAGGCGGGGGCGCCACCGAGCGGCGGCAGCAGCGGCGGCGGAGGGGGCGGGCCCGCGGCCTCGTGCGCGGCGCCTGCGCCTGGGCGGCAGCGGTGGCGGTGAGTGCGGCGCGCGCCGCAGCCGCCATTTCGGGCGCCGTGAGGGGGCCGCGCGTCCGGCAGCGCTCGGGACGCGTCCGGCAGCCAGGGGCGGGCTGGGGCGGGGCGTGCGCTGTGCCTGTTTCCTCCTGTGAGCAGTACTTAAACCAGGTGAAGGAAAAAACTTCGAATTTGTAAAAATAAGATAAAAGGAAGAAAACAAGACATAATAATTTTTGGTGTTAATCTTTCCTTTTGCTAGGCTCTTTATCTCGGGAAAGATGGCAGACCCCTGGCAAGAATGTATGGATTATGCAGTTGGTTTAGCAAGGAAAGCTGGGGAGGTATGTATAAGCTCTTTATAAATAATAAGGTCATTTATTGAGTCTGATATGTGTATAGCTTTTGAAGGAGGTTGATGTTGGAATTTCTTTTGGAGAGTGTTTCTTAAAAACCCAAAAGGGTAGAATAGTTTGTTATGTTCAAGTACAAGATTGGAGTGTCTTTTATGTTTGGAAATCTGTTAAGTTAAGAAAACAACTTTTCACTTTTCCTTACCTTGGAGTCCGATTAAAGACTAAGGAGTAACTTCTGTTCCTTGAGTTTGATTTAACAATAAAATTCAGAATTGTAGTAAACAAAGAGCATCTCGATTTTCACCCTTAAACTACTCCTGTCTGTGGTATTATTTTACCACCTGAAAGCTGGTGACAGTCTTTCCTTGGGAACATCTCAGTCAGCTTTATACTGAGGCTTGTTGATGGCACCCAATACCATATTGTGTTCCTTCTATGCTTGGAAGTGTCCAAGGCCAGGTTGGACAGAGCTCTAAGTCTGGTCTAGTGAGAGGTGTCCCTGCCCATGGCAGGAGAGCTGGAACTAGATGGTCTTTTAAGCTCCTTCCAACCCAAACCAATCTATGTTTGTTTCTCTTCATGAAGACTGCTTTGCTTCTGTAAAAAGAACCATCCCTTACAGTGGTGATATTTTGCCATATGAGGTGTGAGATGGCTTAGAACAAGAAAAAGTTTGTACATCTTGGCAAAGCCTCAGCACAAGTGGTTACCAAATGTTTTGGTTCATAGTAGTTCTTGTTAGTACATTTGCAGGCTATGGAAGCCAGTCAAGATGGTACATGTAATAATTTTGTCCCCTGGAGCTGCAAAGTCTGTGGAACATTCTCTGCAACAACCTCATTAAATAAAGTCTTCCCTCAGAAAATCATTCTGAGTTATAGTGAAATAATTTGTGGGCTGTGAGACATGGGTTCTTGCTTAAGCTGATACTGATAGTTTTAAGATCAGTATCAGCTTAAACAAGAATCCATGTCTCACAGCCCACAAATTATTACACTATAACTTTAAGTTATAGTTTTAAGTTCATAAATGCAGGGTCTGGCAAAAAATATTGAGCTCAGTGTTAGGTGTTTTATTCAACTCTGGTATTTAAATTTGTAGATCTAAAATTTGTCTTTACAAAATGGATTCCAGTATCATCTACCTGGAGATCTTCCTTTTGTA